CATTATGCACATCGAATTATAGAAAGCAAAACTAAACTTCCTAACCCAATTAGGAATTAGGATTTAATTAACCAAAATAATAATTAATAATCCCTACTCCTTGTTCTTTTATGAATAATATTGAGAAGCCTATAAATATATATATATCCACATCACCATACTTGCAGAAAATTAATATAGGAATGGCTCCACCAATGCTGATATGGCTCCATCTTACTCAACAAAAATACATTCCGATCGGCTCTTCCCACGGCAGGCTGGCTTTCTCCGGCGATGAGAACAACCCGGACGACCCTTTTCTCTTCTGCCCGTTTTCCGGTACCCGAATCCGTCTCCCGGCAACACAAACCATCCCAAGAATCCATTATCCTCAGTTCCTCCCAAAGCTCGACAAGATCGTCCTGTGCGGCAACCCGTCTCACGACCCCAACTTCACGGCCTTAGCCATCCACGGGGCTGGCGTGGCCTTCTGCAGGCCCGGCACGGACGAGATATGGTCCCATCTCGACACCGATATCCGGACGGTCTACGACGTCGTCTGCTGCGACGCAACCAAGACCGCTTTCGTTCTGGGCCCGGGGCCTGCCATCGAGGCATGGGACGTGGGCGGTGCCGTGCCGTGCAAGAAGTCGGAGATTCTGGGAGATTTCTGCCCGGAAGCAGTGGCGAGGGCTGGGGAGAGGTACCCGCGCGACCTGTACACGACAAGGTGGTACCTGGGCCGGCCGGAACACGGGTCGGAACCGGGGCAGCTGTATATCGTGGTGAGGTACGTGGGGGAGTTTGTGAGGCACGACGGGGAGGTGGTGCACGAGGGGGACACGCTCACGGACGATGCGGCCGAGCCGTTGGTGTGCCCTTACAAGACGGTGGGTTTCGAGGTGTTCAAGTACAGTGATTGTGATGGGAGGAAGTGGGTTGTGGCGGGGGGGTTGGAGGGGCGGGCCATGTTTTTGGGAGGGAATCAGACAGTAATGGTGGAGGGGGAGAAGGGGAGTTTGATGATGAAGGATGCGATTTACTTTACCGACGATTATCGGGAGAGGTTGGACGAAGACTACTGTTATGGTGGGCATGATAATGGGGTTTATGTGATGGAGGATGGGAGTGTAAAGCAGATTGGTGAAGGTCTAGAGCCGAAGATTTTGCCGCCGCCTTCTTGGATCAGTGCCCCTTCTGCATCTTCGTTTTCTCTCTTTTCATGAGATTTTTAGTTGTCTTGGCTATTTTTGGTTCCAAGTTCAAATATGACTAAAAATATTCACTTATTATTAATTGTACAATTTATATATCTTACAATCAAATACAGTCTAAAGATAATTTGGTATCTCGTATGATTTGGTTTAGTGTTCTCTCTTGAGGAGTGATTCACTTCTATTGTTTGTTTGCCTGGATTCAGTGAAAATTTGTCGTCCCTTGGTACAATAAAGTAGACAAATATCTACTTCTAGTACAACCAACGGTGGTACCTTTTCTTTTTTTTTGACAAATTTCCCTTACAAACTAAACTTTTGGAATTAGGGGCATGCTAACAAAAATTGGTGAAGACGACAGAATGAAAAGTGAACAAATGACAACCATGAAAAAAAAAAAAAAAA